ATGCGAGCAGTAGCCTGTGGGGGAGCAAAACTCCATAGTGTAATGCAGTTAGCAGTGACGATTGTGTTGGGTGTATTGAGATGAATTACAATCTCTGTGCAGGGTTTAGTAGATTTACAGATTGTATTATCTGTTTTTAAGAAAACTAATGTTCACAAAATTTCAAGTGGCATAGATGTTTTCTTGGAAGAATCCATGCATTAAAGATAAAACTAATTATGGACATGTATGAATTTTTTTAATAGCAGAGTTGACGTGTGTCCTCCTAGTACAAGCTCGCTGTCAGGTACAATGCAAAATAAAAACAACAATGATCTAATCAAAGTGAAAAGATAATACTCCCAGAATTTGAAATTGTCAAGAAAACTGTTTGAAATGTGCTGTTTCAAATAATTATGATGATCTGCTTATACACTTTTGGTGGAAGTGTAAATTAGGTCAATCATTGTGAAAATCAGTGTGGCAATTCCTCAAAGGGCAAAAAGCAGAACTACCATGCAATCCAGCAATCCTGTTACTGGGTGTATACCCAAAGCAATATAAATCACTCTATTATAAAGAGACATGCATGCCTATGTTTATTGCTGCACTATTCTCAATAGTAAAAACAAGGAATCCACCCAAATGTCCATCAATGATAGACTGGATAAAGAAATTGTGGTACATATACACCATGGAATACTATGCAGCCATAAAAAATAATGAAATCATATATGTTGTGGGAAAATGGACGGAGCTGGAGGCTATTTTCCTTAGCAAACTAATGCAGGAACAGAAAACCAAATACCACATGTTCTCACTTACAAATGAGAGCTAAATGATAAGAACTTATGAACACAAAGAAGGAAACAATAGACACTGGGGTCTACTTGAGGATGGAGGATGGGAAGAAGAAGAGGAGCAGAAAAGATAACTATTGGGTACTGGACTTAATACCTGTGTGATGAAATAATCTGTACAACAAACCCCCTGCCACGTGTTTGCCTATGTAACAAACCTTCACACATAGCCCCAAACCTAAAATAAAAGTTAAATAAATTAATTAAATAACTATGTTCTGCTGTTAGGATTTATATTTGTAGGTAGGATGAGAAAACATGGACTAGATGTAAAAACACCAAATTGATGATCATAGTTTTCTTCCCAATATTAAAAGATGGCATTTGCTGACAAGAATGGATTGCTATGAATTGTGACTTGTCAAATTTTCCTCTCATCATTTTTTAAAATTAGGATGTCATAATCATACTTCATACATTAAAACTTAAGTAATTTTCTTTTTTTAAGTTTTTTCAGTGGTTACTTTAATCTTTTTGTTTTGTTTTGTTTTGCTATTACACTTTTAAGTTCTGGGATACACGTGCAGAACATGCAGGTTTGTTACATAGGTATGCACGTGCCATGGTGGCTTGCTGCGCCCATCAACCTGTCATTTAGGTTTTAAGCCCCGCATGTATTAGGTATTTGTCCTGATGCTCTCCCTTCTCCTTGCCCCCCAGAGGCCCTGGTGTGTGATATTTCCCTCCATGTGTCCATGTGTTCCCATTCTTCACCTCCCACTAATGAGTGAGAACATGAGGTGTTTGGTTTTCTGTTCCTGTGTAAGATTTAAGTAATTTTCTCAGTGTCATTTCTCCATCTCCACTGTGGCCTAAATTGTGCAGAACCTGCTGTGAGTCTAAATATGAGTTCACATGTGATAGGCAGATGTGATAGGCAGAATAACAGTTCCCTAAAGATTTCCACATCCTCATCTCTGGAACCTGTGAATAAATCACTGCACATGGCAAAGGAGAATGAATAAAGGTTGCAGATAAAATTGATTGATAATCATGTGACCTTAACACGGAGGGATTGTCCTAAGTTGTCCAGGTGTGTTCAACATCCTTAACAGCAAGACAGGAAGGAGGGGAAGGAAGGACCAGGGAGATGGCAGCCTGAGACAGAATCAGCCGCTGCAGCTAAGGAATGCAGGCATCCTCTTGTGGCTGAAAAAGGCAAGGAAACAGAGTTTGCCAGATCTTCTAGGAGTACAGTCCTGCTGACACCTTGATTTTAGCCTCATAAGGCCCATTTCAGACACCTGACCTTCAGAACTGTAAGATTGGTGTTGTTTTAAGCCACTAAGTTTGCACCAATCTCTTACAGCAACAGCAGAAGACTAATGCAAGAGAGTTCCTGATTTACACGTATGCATGCTTCCGGGTATACACATATACACACATACCCCTAAGGGAGAACCCACCAAGAACTAGAAAGTTGTTTGCTGGCAAATGCCTTCTAATATACAGTTTAGTAATAAAATGTCCCCACATTATGGCATCATCACTATCACAGGCTAACATAAAGAAACAAAATTTGCAACAAATACAGCAAAGGCTTTCCCCCATAAGACCTCATATAAATTAACGAGAACAAGATCAAGTTAATAAATGGGCAAAGAACTTCTGAGGTCATTCACAAAAGAAAAAACATAAATGACTAATAAAATATGAAAATATGTTAGATGAAAGAGAACTATTGCAAAAATAAATAAATGAAGGGATGCCATTCTGTTTATTTTCTTGGCATGTATTTTTAAGTGGAGCTATCCTATGGTATGGAAAAGCAAGCATTGTCAGTCACTGCTGTGGTAGGATAGATGATACAAACTTTCTGAAAACCAATAATGTATAAAAAATAGTCATAAAAATATTCAATGGCACTTCTGCAATAATAATTTTACCTCTGGGAATCAGATCATCAAAAATTCAGGAAAAGCATTAATATTTTTCACAATATTATTTATAACTTGAAAACAACTTTCAATAATAGAACATTAATACATAGCAGTATATTTAAATAATACAAATTTACGTAGTCATTAATAATTAAGCTTATGGAGAGAATAAACTTGGGTCATACGAGTATAAGTGATATATAGCAACTACAAGAGAGAAAGATTGGAAAGAAATCTATTGTACAGTTATTAGTGATGGGATTAGGGGCCGTTTCTTGTGTATGTAACTGGTTTACTGAATGGGTTGGTAGAATACAGTCAAAAGGCAATTTTGTTTGTTCTCTCACTGCCCCTTCAAGTACATATTACGGCTTTGTTTCATCTCACCCTTTGGATCATATTTCAAGCAGAATTTATAGCTCTTTTAGCTCCTCAGAGATATTAAATATCTAGTCCAGGTCACTGCAAATTCTCATCCACTTAAAAACTCTCCCGCTCAGCTTGGGCCTGATTTCAGCTTGCAGATTTGCAGAGAGGAGGGAACACGGCACTGCCTCCTCCTCTTCTCACTCCACTTCTCTCCCTGTTCCTCTGCGTTATTGTGGGGATGAAGTAGAAGGAGAAATGATGGGAGAAAAGGACGGAATAAGGTGTTAGCATGACGGGTTCCATTGTAATCTGGCAGGGATACTCTCTGGGTGTGACAGCTTCCACACGCTCATGCTTCTTCTCATGGGGTGCTTTTAGGGGTTCTTCGGAATCCCACCCCATCCCTCCTTTAAGATCCCTACCTGTTTCTCGGATGATCAGCCTCCCTGGTTTGCCACTTTGCACCCCTACTTGCTTTCTATAGCCAAAGTACCACCATCCTTTTTCTGAGGTCACCTGCCCTTCCAGGAAGTCCTCTGGGATGGCTCCAACTCCAGAACAGCACAGGAAGATCTCTCCAGAGGCCTTACCCCCAGGCTAAGGGCACACACACACATCCTACCCTGACGATTCCACCCAGTCCTGTCTCCACACACTGCTACCAAAAACTCCTCTAGACACAGCCTCTTGCCTTTTGACTCTTCCAAGTGTGAGTTGGTTGCCAAGCCCCCATGTTTCCCAAAGTGTAAGAAATATTAAGCTCCCCAAGTGCTTTCTGAAGCACCCCGTCACTTGGCTTGAGGTGAGAGGAGGTGCCCGCTGGGTGGGAGGAGCCATCAGCACCCTGGCAGATTTCTCTTAAGTCCTTCTCCTAAGACCTCACCCTAAACGTTTCCCTAACCTCTCATCCTCTCAGAGCTTCTTGACCTTTGTCTAGACAGTCCAGAGATGGATTACAAGCTTAGGGTCCTAATTCACGTGGGTAGTCAAAAGCCCCAGAAATCTTGTTCTCTGCATTGGAAACTTGAGCCTTTGACACCAGGACTATCAGAAAAAGTTTCTTTTCCCAGTGTTATTTTATAATGGGGGTAAAGGGTGGAAACAAATGTTAACAAAGGCAAGAAGATAAACTACAGCAGCTATTAAGTATCTATTTTTCATGCCTATTGAAGTGCTTATAGTAAGTATTTTTAGACTGAACTAGATTCATTGACAATTTTGTCCTCTAGGAATTGCAGTGTCTTTGGCTCCATGGAATAAAAATCGTCCTCTTAGCATCATAAACGCAGAGGTTAAATTCTACACCTGCATTTATTCTCTGAACTACTAGTATCCAAAGTACAAATTATCTCTTCTATTTTATTTTATCACTACTGAATCACCAGCAAGTTAATGTGTTTTCTTGTGGTATGATTAACAAAGCAATTTAGTATCTAAATATGATTTACATTCCCAGAGCATTTTAAATAATTAAGTAGATGATTGGTATTTAATTTATAAGCAACATGTTTTGATTCCTTCTGTAGCTTTTAAAAATTAAAATAGTTATAGTTAATGAGTGCTAGTACAAAATGCTCAATCATCAGAAAAAAATCAAAAGTTTAAAATGGATTTCTTAATAATCTTTGCCGATTATAAAATACAAGAACTGTAAGTCCCAAATCAAAATCTAAGTGAAATGTCTAGAAATTGGTTTTTCCCCCCATTTCTGTGTACTTTTTAGAAAGCTATTGAGGCTACATAGAAATGAAAAGGCTCTTTTAAAATCACAGCTATCATTTTAAAAGAGTGTTTTCTACTGCAAATTCTTAAAAGTTGCTCATAAATTTTTATCTTTATTAGATTATATTGGCTCTTTAAGTATGGAAACTTGGCATAGATTCTTAAGGTACACATGTTTTCCCTTTTGCAGTTGGTGGGTTTTGTGTATGCCTGTTATGTGATCAGTATTTCCATGGAAGAAGAAGACACATGTAAGTACTGTTTTCTCTCTCCCTGTGGGTTCCTTTTGAATGAGATACAGCTTCCAAAACTAATCATTACAGGGTTATGAACTCTTTTATATTTGGAGTCTAAAATGATTGAACTCAGCATACTAAAGTTACAGTCAAAAGTTGACAGGCTGAATTGCACACAAATAAGGTGACGCTACATATTGAAACTCTCAATTTGTGAGAGCACGTGCAGAGACTCAGAAGGCCAAGGACTGCTGTCATATAGCTTAGCAACTTTTCATCAGACATCTAACCATTATGCTGAGTAGACAATCAACGGTTGTCTTATCTATTAACAATTTTAGGCATGTTGGTGGCAGAATTTTGAAGTCTGAGTAACAGTAATGATATCAATACAATAATACATTACAGAAAGATCTATATGTATATAAACTATATAAAATGCAATGAAAAACAACTAAAATTTACAACCTTCCAGGTGAGATGCAAAAAAAAAAAAAAAATTACGAGGTGCTAAAAAAAAAGTTAATGGAATACTTAAAAGCTAAATCACGTTTTAGCGGAACACCCAAAGGAAAAACATTTATTAATATGACCTGTAGTTATATAATAGAGCTTTAGCAGCATAGGTCAACAAATGGCCTTCATTGAGCACCTGCTGATGTATAAGACACTTCTTGGCACAACTCTGTTAGGGACTCATATTTTAATTTACTTTTTAAAAAAAAAAGGTTTTTTTTGAGACGGAGTCTCCCTCTGTCACCGAGGCTGGAGTTCAGGGGCGCGATCTGCGCTCACTGTAAGCTCCGCCTCTCAGGTTCACGCCATTCTCCCGTTTCAGCCTCCCCAGTAGCTGGGACTACAGGCGCCCGCCACCACACCTGGCTAATTTTTTTATATTTTTAGTAGAGACGGGGTTTCACCGTGTTAGCCAGGATGGTCTCGATTTCCTGACCTCGTGATCCACCCGCCTCAGCCTCCCAAAGTGCTGGGATTACAGACGTGAGCCACTGTGCCCAGCCTACTTTCAAAATTTTAATTTACTTTCAAAAGTTTAATTTAACTTTCAAAAAATAAATTATTTTAGATAAAGAAATCACACCAAACCAAACCAGAGATTGCATTGCAGTCATTGTTTGAATTTGTAACAAAATGAAGCAAAGTAGCTAGCCATTATAACTTCCTTCCAGAACATGGCCTCAAAGGGGTCTGATGAATGCTTCCCATCAAATAGATGGGTGGTGCATGATATATGAGTTGGAATCCAGAATCTAATGGGGTCTTGTCTCAATTTATTTGACCAAGCCTCAGACCCTGAGATTAAAAGTGTCAGGCAGTGAAAACATGCAGACAAATTGCATCATGTATTTAATGCTTACTCAGGGTTTTTTGTTTGTTTGTTTGTTTGTTTGTTTGTTTAATGCTAGACAACACAAAAAATTTCTGTCACTTGAAAAGTGCAGTTCAATGACAACACTTTTCATTTTGAGATTAACTTCAAAATCTCTATTTTTAGTTTTATTAGTAGTTCTACAACTTGATGAAGTTAATATACAGAAGGTTAGCAGCATGCTTCCAACCCACAGCTACAACAGGCTGCACAGCCAAAAACAGTTGGTTGAGCATGAGCGACAGTAACTGGAATTTCAACCTGAAAGTTATTGGAATTTGAGCTGAATAAGTCAAAAAATTGATAAGTCCCAGTTGAATCTCTTCTAAAGTAGATACCTACTTTTGAGTAGTTATAAGACAACAACAACAACCAAAACAAACAGTCCTCTTTCTTTTCCTCCTCACTGAACTGTTTGAAGACTCTCAAAAGACACCAGTGCTCAGTTGTACTTAACAGTAGGAGAAAAGGCAAATTAATCAATAGTCTTATCATCTAGTGCAGTAAATATACAAAAGTCTTTTCCTTGAGACTTGTGGTTTGAGTAAAGCTGGGAAATGCAAAATGGTATGCAAAATAAAAGACTCATCTAAATGGATACTTTTGTTAACCTTCTATTAGCCTTCTTTTCAGTGTATATAAATTGTATTGTTCACTGACAGATATTGTCGTTCCATTGACTTTGACGTCTTTAATTAGCTTAAGTTTCTCTATAGAAATCTCTGAATCAGCTATTTCAATGCCCTTCAAACTGGGATTGAAGCAGCTGTTGGAGACTATTCTATTAGTGGTTTAATTCTAGTGTTTGTTATGAGGGCCATACATTACATTACTGAGAGACATCTGGATATAGTACTTGTGTTGTCATCAATTCAAATTGACTCAGAGTCAAAACGAAACTTGGGTGCTCAAAGCAAAGTATATATGCCCAAGACTAACTTAACATGATAATCTGCTGGAAGAGAGATGACATGGAAAGCAGTCACAAACATTTGAGTCTGATAGTTCTCAACTGAGGGTAATTTTATGTTTTTTATTGAAAGAGGTAGGAAACAAAAGTGCAGATGTAATTAAGTTGTCCCAGGGTCTTCAGAAGGCAGATGTGAGCAAACTGTAATGTCTGAAACCAATTGCAACGATCTCATACACTAGTACTATTTGTGCCAACACTTAGCTTTTAGGTGCAATAATGAACTGCCCCTTGGATATGACATTACCAACCCTCTGTCAGGAAGACATGTCTTTTGAATTATTTTTCCAAAACTTACACATAAAATAAGTAAACAATACTAGTATCTTTCCAATTTGTCTAAGTACACTTCTGGAAAGCTTATTCTAAAAGAGAACTGCAAATATACTATAATGTCAGTTTTTTGGCAGGCAATACATCATTCATAATTTTGATTCTGTTCTAACTAATGAAAATTTCTGCATTATTCAAAATGCAAAGTTAAGCCTTGTTCTTGGACTGAAAGCTGCCAGCCAGCCTTAAAAATTAGTAACAGCTACCACTTCCCTCCTCCGCACTGTTAAAGTGGATATATGGGACTAACATTTCAGACAGATATTTCTGAAGGGTAATAAATACTTGAGGAAACATTTATTTCTAGCCACCCGTCTTCTTGGTTACCTCTCAGCCTCTTTTATTAACTATTTCTTATAAAGATTATGATTGCAGGTCAAAGACAATGAAATAAAAAGCTCTCAAAAGGCAGAGTGCTACGTGGGGTCAGCGCTTTTCATCATTCATTCTAATGAAAAAGCCTAGTTATAACTGTTCCTTCCATTTTTCATTTCTTTTAAATATATATAAATATATATCAATCTCCATGAACACTTTCATGAGACTAGAATCTCTGGAATCAAAATGATAAAAATCTGTCAACACCTTGTTTGGGAGTCATTTGCTGAAAATGAACTTGTGGATTTGTTATTACCTTGTTAGACTTTCTAGAAATAATGTTTATAATTCAGAGAAGTGTGAAGATAAGGCGAAAGATGCTGAAAAATAGCATTTTACTTGTATAAGTACTGCCAGACTTTTTCAGAGTTTCTGTTGCTTGCACTACTCCTTGTGATATTAGGCTGCAAATTGCAACTGGCATATTTATTTGGGCTCACAAAGGCTAGTCTGGGTTGTATATGTTGAATGATGAGAAAGAAAAGTATACTGAAAACCCTAATAGTTTTTGAAAGGAAATGGACCCCTCAGATGTGGGTTCAATATTTTACATTACAAAGCTCTAAATAGTTCTTTATATAAACATTTGACCCTCGCTATTATACTTTTGAGGAACTTTTTATTGGAAGGAAGCATAACTATCAGAAAAACATTTCATCGCTCTACTGTCCTTGAAGCTTCCTGCTGGCTAATGTTCATGTATTTACCTGTCTGCCCATGAACTCCTTCTAAGAAAATGAGGTGGTATTTCCATAGCAATGGTGTGAGCTGAAAATTGTTTAAAATCCCATCTCTGCCTAAGAATTTATGGAAGAAACGAATGGTAGGAAAAAAAAAAAAAGACTAGTTTGAATGTTAATTTATGAATTTCCTTTCCCCAACTTATAATGTATGGAAGCCTCAGAGAAGTAAAGTGACCACAAGGCCAGACACCAGGGGAGGGAATAAGCAGAGGCCTGGAAGATCTTCAGAGTAGAAAACCAGTCCAGTGTTTTGCACTCCTAGCAATGTATGGATATTTGAAGGTGAGAGGAGAGGAGAATGTTGTGAGTCAAAGACGGAGAATTGTGCAAGACTAGGTAAGGATGGTCCTGAAGTCACAGTGAACATTTCAAAGGAGTCACCATGTTTGCCTAATAAGCCATTAAGAGTCTACTGATTCTCAGAGTGCGTGATTTTCTTTTTTGATAACTATCTAGTTGGTTGCATGTAACTGTCCTAAAGGCTGTTTCTCTCTCCATCAGCCTCACTAGAGCTCAGACTTAGATCCTGAAACATTTTCCTAATTTGCTGAGATGGCTCTGCCAAATATCTACACAATGACTAGCTAATTCTCCCACTAACGTAGATCTGTGAGGGTGAAATCTTTGTTTTGCTCCCCATTGTAACCCTATAACTCAGAAAAAATGCCTTGCATGTAGAATTCAATAACGAAGTATTTGTTGGCTGGGTGTGGTGGCTCAACCCTATAATCCCAGCACTTTGCAAGGCCGAAGCGGGCAAATCACTTGAGCTCAGAATTCAAGGGCAGCCTGGGCAACACGGTGAGACCTCGTCTCTACCAAAAATACAAAAACATAGTCGGTGTGGTGGTATGCACCTGTGGTCACAGCTACTCAGGAGGCCGAGGTGGGAGGATCACTTGAGCTTGGGGTCAGAAGTGGTGTTGGTGGGATGGAGGTTCCAGGTTTCAGTGAGCTGAGATCCTGCCACTGCACTCCAGCCTGGGTGACAGAGACGCTGTCTCAAAAACAATGAGGAAAAGAAATATTTGTTGAGTTTATAGTATTAAATAAATTTTCTGGGCCCAACAACTCAGTTTTACAAAGTCATTTTTAAAACCCCAATGTTCTCAAGTTTCATGAAATTATACTGCTTTATGTTTCAAACATAGTGAGATGTCCAATGCACTTGCAAATGTTTATGTGAGGCAAGTGGAGGTCCTGC